ACAGGTCTCTCTCATCTTTTTAAGTGGGAGAACTTGCACAATTGGTGGCTGACTAAATACTTTTTTGCCCCACTGTATAGGCTGAGGCCCATGCAAAATTATTGTCATGCTGGAAATTCTGTACTATTAATTCATGTATGCTAAAAAATGTTTTAAGTGCAGCAATTCCACAGCATAATCAGCAATTCCTTAACAAAATTAGATGATTGTATTAACCGTAATATAGTTATCACACTGCAGTTCTCTTAGAACAGTTAAGAACACTGTCCCAGTACTTAGCAGTGCATCTACATGGTGATACAAGATGTACATTCAATTGACTCTATTCTCAGTCGTGCTTGTCCTGCTGGAGACCCCAGCAGCCTAATAACAATGTAAAGTGGGGTAGCCACGGTACAAACTTTGCATTTGGTTGTGAAGGAATAAAAAGTCCAAAAGGCAGAACAAAGTGTTAAAATTTATCAGCAAATATAATTATTTCCTGATTTAAATGAAATGTTAAGATCACAGATTTTGTACTCCTAAGAAATATAACAGAAGTATGCCCAGACTGTAGTGCAGGCATGATCAAAGCCTTAAGAGTCAGGGCTGCAGCAGACAAAATGTTTAGAGACTGAAACATAAGATAATGACCTTGTGCTTGTTAAAATGGACATTTAATGTTCTACTAGATAGATATTAACCTAATACATTGTAAGGTATTTTCCCATTTGTTTTGAAAATATGAAAGAGCTGAGCAACTTCCCAGATAGTATAATCACAGTCAGCACTATTATATTGGGCACTTGCCAATATTTTAGCTGAATGTGCTATAGTGTAAATGTGAGTTAATCTATAGAATAGCAATAAGTATACATCTGAAATAGTTCTCCAAATGACATGACGTCTCGTCATTATGCAAGGCACAAATTGCAGTGTGCCTTATTTATCTGAGCTTCATTTCCATAGAGCACAAAAGGAAAACCTCTTAAATTTTAAGTTGCCAACCATACAGGTATGGGTTTTCCGGCACCCGTCTCTGCTTTCCCAGCTCAATGGATTTCCCCATCATTTCTTGGAGGATCTGCTTTCCCTGCTGCAGTTCAGCCACTCAAGTGCAGCAATTCATCTGCTGTTGCACGCATGCATAGAGCTGTTTCTGCCTTGGGCCACCCAATCATTCTGCCTACTGCTGGGCATCCTTAGAAACATTTCTTCTTCACACAGTTTGCTCACCAAAGCCCTTCAGTGTGACAAGGGGACTGTATTTCATAGGATCACTCAATGATAGCCAAACAGTGATATTGTTAGCTGGTATCTCAGGGCAGTTGTTGTTTGAAACATTTGGTCTGGGGTTCGAGTTAATCTAAATCTTAGCATATTATTAATTTAACGACATGCCAACTCTACAGCAAACAAACAAGAAAGTTCTTTAGTTATTTTTTTAATCATTTACCATTTCCATGGCATATACCTTGCTGACTAACAAGTATTCGTGAGATGCAGAAATTAATGTACACGATCACTTAATTGGTATATATTGTGCCTTTCCGTTAAAAATAAGTCTCAAGGAGGCAAACAATAATAAAACATTACTAAACACAAAATTATAACTAAGCATAACATATGAATAACACAAATTTACAGCGCCATTAAAAAGCAAATGAATAGCACCCACCAAATAAAATCTGTTGCAGCATGCAAGCCAGCTGAAATAACAGCAATCCATTTACCAAAAGTACTAAGTGACCTGATATTTTTTAAAAATATGCTTCCTGATATGGTACAGGCAGAAAAAAGAGTATTTTTTCTCCAAGCAGAATACAGTGTTACAAATCAACTGATGATTTATATGACTGCAGACTGCAGTCTTTCAAAGGACAAACCATTTTTCTGCTTTTATATTAGTGGGTAACATCTTATGTGCTAAGTGTATGTTTGAGGTTGGAAAGAATTTCACTTGGCCTTTGGATGGTATGCTATGGGTTGCAGCCCCCACTTCCAAAGGTTAAAAATATATGGAATTAGGACAAAACCTTTTTTTCATTTAATAACATTTAAGGATATTGAATTAAATTTATGTTTAATGATTTAAATATTTACTATGATTGCTTTTCATATATTCCAGAATTTTTGTCATCTTTTAGATTAAAAATTACAATTTGGTGGCAATTTTTGGAGGGCTTTGGAGTCCATGTGTGATTCTGAAGCCTCAGGCTATGGAGCTTACAAGGTATAAACACAGGTTGAACTGCATGAGCTGGTAGAAGTAGTTGCCACAAACTCAACAATATATCACAAACTCAAATATATCACAATCACCACCCATACTATGACTTCTGAAATATTCATAGAAATCAAGCCTTCCCTGCATACTAAGGTATCGCTAGCAAATAAATTATTTCAAAAGTGGTTGAGGGTGGCCATGTGCCATATATTTTTACCTTCCATCTTATTTTCTGGAGAATACTTTTATATATCCTTTCCTATCTTGTCCTATCCCCTTATCCATTCATTCTTTAAAAAATCACATTTAGTAAGGATACCATTATTCCATATCTTTTTACTGAATTGATTAAATGGGCTGCCATACTGCCAAATTACAAGTAGTCTAAGGAAAAAATACACTTAATACAAACGGATCTAAGAGAAGGATGCTAAAGAGATAGATCATAATTTAAACAATGAAATCTAAGTCACAGTTAACATCAAACACTTCTCTATTTCCCCCTTTTTGCCTTTTGAATTAACTGATAAACAGTGTTGTCTAGAGGGATCAAGATTCTAGACTGATGGAACAATTCACGATATTTATCTTCAGCTAAGATATATGCAAAGTGGATCATTTCAATATCCAAACTATTTTATCCAGTGACCATCTCTTGCCTTTGAAAATTTGGAATTTCAGGCTCAGAAATTCCATATTATGTAACTACTCTGTTTGGGGTAGTAATGTGTTGCTGTTTGGGGATATTTGTAGTTTTAAATTTTTACTATTAGGTAATTGTTCATCCTATCTGTTTGGATTTTCTGCTCTTCAGGAGACTATCTATATTCTTAGAGTAGGAGAAGCTACTTTTGCAGAAGAAAATGCACATGTTATTCTAGCAAAAATAAATGGCCAAAAATGCATGCATGTCAATACTTTTCCATAAGAACATGAAGACCTATATCCATTAGAACATTCAAATTTAAACATATACTTCTGAGGAAAGGTTACTCATCTTAATAACACATGTTAAAATTACATCTCTTGCTAATCATAATAATAAATGGAGTGTTTTTAACTCTTGGTTAATCTTATTTGCATTTGCTTCATTGGCCATTTTCAGTCATATTAAAAACTCAATTTACCCAAATAAATAAATAAATCACAAGACACCTCAGTGAATGAACAGTTACCCAAATATTGTTTATATTCTATGATGATGATGATTAGTTTACTGTTGGAATGCTGCATTTTGTACATTATTTACAATTGTGTTGTACACCAAAAAATATGGGACTGAAAACAACCAATGAAACAGATTCAAATAAGATTAACCTTGTTAATTATATCCACAAATTAACAGTAAGTCCAAAGAAACATTTATAACATCTATTTTTAAAAAACCTCTGTTTCTCTTAGATGGAACCAAAGCTCTATGTGATGATTCTGCAAAGCACTCTCCATTTTTTTAAATCTGAAGAATGCATAGACACTGCATTCTTCAATCAGGGACTGATACAGAATAGAAGTGGGCACATATCTCTTTACTACTTCTTTCCTGTCAGTTTTCCTGCCAGTCACCATCACATTACTGCAAATTTTTTACTTTTGGTCATCTGAAGAAAATAGGTGGATGGTAGATAATTGACAGGCAGCAAACTGGTGAACAGCAATTAAGAAGCTCAGGTGATCTGTACCCTTCCAATCTCCAAAAGAAATTTTTGAAATCAAGAGAAATATACTTTATTATCCCATCTCATTTGGATCTGAAGCTGGACCATATGCACACTGCTTAATAAAGCTTAGAACTTAAGACTGGATTTATGTCAGGGTGATAATATGTAAGTACTGCTCAAACCAGCAGCCCACACTGGTTGTACATTTATATTATCTTAATACCCATGAGAGGTTTGTGGAAATAGCAGAAAACTATACTTTGGGACTTTTTGTTTTAAACAGAGTCAGAATTCTAAATTGTGCAACTGACTGAAATGCACTTTGACATAAGCAAGCTGTACAGGAAGATAACATTCCAAAGAAATACCTGTTTGGCTGCTGAAGATGAAATCGTTCTACTTGCTACCAGGTCCAGTAGTTCAGCCAAAAGAAGAGGAGTGACTAGACTAAACAATAAAACAAATCAGAAAGATACAACCTTTTTGATGCAGTGGGCACACCAAATATTTTATGTATCACGCACTCAAAAAATACAGTTGCCAGGGAGTGCTTGCCCAGTGGAAATGGAATATGGCAATCCCCAAAAGTAAATTACCAGAAGGCTAACACATGTGGTTGCCTCCTGCCACTTTCTCTTGTCTCCAAGAACATTCATTCAGCTGCCAATTTATTTCTGCATTCTTTTTTCTTTCTTGTCTGACCATTTTTGTCCAAATTCCTCCCCATTCACCTCCCACACAAAAAAACAAAAGTAGTTGTGTAAGTTGGCATGCTCTACTACTACAAGCTAGCCCATAGATGCAGATATTTATATACTTGAATGCATGTATATTGTTAGTTAGGCTATAATTTCCATTCCATTTTGCTGTCTTAGGATCCAGAGGACAGTTTCATACAAAAGAACATAGTTAGTCCTGCAAATCCATGACCACAGAAAGTCTAGAAATACAAGCTCAGGTTCATAATACTTTGCTTACATTGCACATTAGGCTTTTATCATACATGCCCTAATTCAGCTATAGTCATGCAGAGTTACAAATCAGTCTTTGCAGTAAATATTGATAGTGTATCTCACTGAAAGCAATGGACTGGTAACTGGTATCTGTTTTCTGATATAAGTAGCGCATATGGATAGCTGTTCCTAACATGGTGCTCTCCAGATGTTTGAATCACAACTCCCATGTTGGCCACCAGACACGCTGGCTGCAGATATTGGGAACTGGAGTCTAACACATCTGGAAAGCACCAGACTGGGAAAGGCTTTTATAGCTATCCCTTCTTTTCCATGTCTTTGCTACCTTGATAATGGAAGAATTTACTTCCCTAGGAATGGATCTTGTCCCTCTTAGCAAATGTTTAGGATAACTATGTTCCAACAAAACAAATATTCAAATGAAAAACTGAATCCTTCACATGTGCTGTAATAGCACATTCACAGAATCCTTCATTTATATGGCTATGTGTTATAGAGGACACTATTAGTTTGAAAGACTAATTATTGGCATACAAGATCTGTCTGATCAAAAATAAAGATCTAAAAGCCCCACCTTTCCTTTACTGTAATGTTATATAGTTTTAGGTAACTGAGGAAATTATTTATAACCCAGCCAATCACTTTCTGGGGCTTCATTTCTGTTGCATTCACCACGCTTTCAAAAAAATCCATTAGACCATCTTCATTCTGTTAAGGAAAAAAATGTTGTATTAAAAAAAGTAGCAATGAAATCAACCTTCCCCTGAACAAACCATACCCTCTGATTTGGACTCATCACTTGTGTGATATCAGCAATCTTTTGGCTGCTTCATAACTCCCAGCAGTTCAAGAAACTTTACATATTTCCCAAAGAGCCGTGGCACGACTCTTCAGTGGAGTTGCTTGATTTAGAACAGATCAGCTTCCTGGCCAGTCCTGCTGACATTATATAGATAATATTATCATTAATTTGCTTCTAAATGGAACTCATTCCTATGGATCTGATTACAATTGTTCCTGCACAGAAGCACCCTGAAGTATGCTACAGCTTCCACGATGCAGTATGCAGATTTTTATAAGCAGCTGACTAGAATTTAGAAACAGGGAAGTACAAGAGCAGTTAATCAACCAATACTGCTTCCTTCCCAAAGAAATTTCCTTTCTCCAAAAAATGTAAGTTTATTATGTTGGTACATTATGAGGAAAAGAGCCACAAGGTAGACCTATATGATTACTGTATCAAGATCTCCACAGTTTCCCTGATGACATCATTTGGCCCAGGGTAGAGATGTATAGCTAAATATCATCAACTTAGTAATGATATTTAACCCCTTGCCAACAGATGACCACTCCCAGCAAGATGATGTAAATGTTAACAGCAATGGAGAAACTGTAGAGCCCTGAGAAACCCACAAAATAGGGATCTAGGGTTAAATCTCTCCCACTCCCCAGTAGTAATTGGAACTGGCCCTGAAGGAAGGAGGAGAACCATTGAAACATTGTGCCCCCCACTTCTAACACCTGAAGCTGATTCAGAAGAATACCATAAGCAATGGTATCAAAAACTAGTTTATAGAACACCCCCTACCTTATGGGACACCCTCCCTCCAGCAATTTGGCAGACCCCCAACCTTTTAGCCTTTCAGAAGGCCATCAAGACCTGGCTTTTTACCAAGGCACTGGGATAGGATAGGATAGGATAGGATAGGATAGGATAGGATAGGACAGGACAGGACAGGACAGGACAGGACAGGACAGGACAGGACAGGACAGAAAGAATGGAACTGAACTTGCTGCAGGGCACCCTAATGGGATGATTGAGGTGCAGGGTTTTTGTTTTTGTTTGATCGTTTTATTATTTTATGGTCGTTTTATAGTTACTGGTTTTACTATTGCTGTGAGCTACCTAGAGTTGTTTAAGATGGGTGGCCATAAAAATAAAATAAAATAAAATAAAATAAAATAAAATAAATAAAAGATAAAAACTGCTGAGAGATCAAGGAGGCCAGGATAGATATACTACCACTATCCTGGTCCTGGTAAAGGTCACAAACAAGTGCAGTCAATGCCATCTCAGTACTATACTCCAGTATTAAACCCAACTGAAAAGGTTCCAGATAATCTGCTTCCTCCATTCAATCCAGGGGTGATTTCTTGAGGAGGACGTGGACCACCACCTCTGTAGAACTTGTCATGGCCCAGGACTCAGACTCTGATTCTAAAGAAGCTGCTCCAGCTGAACCAGTGAATGTCAGCTTCAGGAGACATCAAGCCAGGAATCAGCTGAGGCTGATCAAACACCATTACATTACAGGCACCATTAGAATAGCTGGAGCAGTCAGATGATGAGGTACTGCCTCCAAGCCCTTGGAGTCAATGAGTAGAGTGGAGAGCAGAGCAAAGATGCTCAGTGAGGCTCCTTGCCAAGCAAGGGAGTAACTCTCTCAATTAAAGATAGCTGGTTGCAACCTGATTTAGAGGCAGATCTGACCCATGTTTGGAAACAACCGTCTGATCTCCTGCTCTGACATGTTCCTGTGATTCTGCTTGTGATTCCTGAAACCCTGACCTTTGGACTGGCTGACAAACCTGACCTGGGTCTCTAAACTTCAGACTGGATTTGATTTCTCTTCTTTGTGTTCCTCTTGAAAGCGAAACTACTCAGGCAAGCTTTCTTTCCCAGAGACTCTGTTTTGATTTACATTCCTTTCCTAGTCTGCCATTATCTACTCAGCCTTGAATAAATTGCTATTTTCACCTAGCAACTATGTGTGTATGAGTTTGAAACCTGAAACAGGACATATCTGGCAGAACCACCCCTTCCCTCAAGGATGCATTCATCACCACCTGGATCTAACCACACAGTGTCTCCTGGAAGGACTTGACCAACTAGGAAAGACATGGATCTAATACATAGGTGGCTGCACTAACAGCCCTAAGGACTCAGCAGGCTCAAATTCTTCCCAGATAATCATGCTAAACAGTACTTTGGTCAACTCCACAAAATCTATATAGCTGAACTCCAGGTCAGAGGGATCCAAGCAATTTTACACAACAGATACCTTAACAATGGACCTGCATATTTTTCTCAGGCCCATTTCTGCCCAGGAGGAACTGGGTCATGTTGAGCAATACCAGCAGCCAGTTATCTGTGGAAATGATCAGAGTGGAAAAACAATTATGTTTTGCCACTCTTTATCACCATGAGGTTATCCTTAATAAAGGCTGTTACCCATGCTTGGATTTATTCTTCATCTTTCTCTACAAAAAGGCACCCTAGGGGTCTCTTTTGTAGCTTCATGTCCCAGAATTCTTCTGAGAAACAGGGAACTTTCTGGGATCCACAAAGAGAGAGTCTTCACAAGTGCAATACAATCCAAGACTGTCACTGTTCAAGGCAGTAACTAAGGCTTCAGTCAACAATCCCAGGTTTCTTATGAAATCTGACAGGATCTATCAGGCACCTCGGATGGAACAATTGAATAGACCCTTCCTCCCTGCAGTGGCTACAGAGAACTCCAAGGTCAACAGAGAGTGATCTGATCATAACAAGTAACATTCTCAGGCACCTAGGATGGAACAATTGAATAGACCCTTCCTCCCTGCAGTGTCTACAGAGAACTCCAAGGTCAACAGAGTGATATGATCATAACAAGTAACATTCTCCAACTCCAGATCACATTGCTACTGCCTGAGACCAAAAAAAAAAAAAACGCAAACAGATTTAATGTGTGACCAGTGCTGTGAACTGGGTCTCAATCTGGATCAGGTCCATGGTTACCATGGGAGCCATGAACTCACAAACCACTTCCAACATTGTACCCAGGGAAGTCAGATTAAACTCCCCTGAGAACATACATCTGGGGAACCCTACTGCCAACCTGGCCACAGCATAAAGCAGCTCAGGCAGGGAAGCCACTACATAGCAGGGAGGCTGGTACAGTAGCAGCAATACCATCTGATCCCTAGGGCCCAACCTTATGACCAGAGTTGCACAACTGGTTATCTGTGGAGCAACATCCAGAGTCCCTTGGATGCTATAGCAATTCCACTATTCCTTGCCCTGGGATAATGGCTGGTGCCAAACTCAGAATGTGGGTAGGCATACCCCCTCTATGTCCAAGCAGGTTTTAGCAATACACACCAGTTCAATCAGAGCCTGGATGAGGAAGGCCACTCTGACATTCAGTAGCAACAGAAAAAAATCACTGGGGCTCTTTCTTTTTTTCAGCTGACGGAATAAACTCCCATTTGCCAGCTCTAGAACTTGTTTATATTCAATGCCAAGTGCAATTTACTTTCAAATCTTAGCTTCTTTTCAAATCCATTCAGTTTAAAGTAAGTTTCATAAGAAGCTTAAATTTCATAACTGCATATGTAATCTTCATACTTTTAAAGGTATGATATTTTGAATTTGAACCAAGTCGAAGCTTGCAGATTTTTATGTTAAAGTATGAATTCATCTGCTTCCTTCCCTGTTTCCAATTTTACACACACAAACACATGTACATAAAAATCAAATGTGCCAGGGGAGGTCTTATTTATTTCATACAAACTCCAGATAGCAAAATGCATAGTTCCATCATACGTGATCTAACTAGGAGAGTTGAATAGCACAGCTGCATGTAAGTATATAATGTTGTGTACAAGCTGGGATTCTCCAGATGTTGTGGGCTGTAATTTCAAACAGTTGCAACTATCAAAGTCAGGGATGACAGGACCTGTAATTTAAAATTCCCAAATGTTCACTTTTAACCATTAGTTTAATCAGAAACTGCAGCAGAATTGCCTACTTCACTTAGCCTCCATGTCCTAAATGTTATACAAGTGTGAATTAAAATACGCACTTGTATCGATCTTGAGAGAAGAACAACGTACATAATTTGTCTATGTGCTCATTAGCTCTGCTGGAGCATATATCTGGTATAAAAAATGCTAAGCCATAAGCAAATGTTTATAATAACAAAGGGCTATAGAAATATTAAACACTGTATGATTTGATATGTACTAGACAGTGGCTTCTTCTTTGGAAAAGTTATTTTATTGGGGAGTGTTATTGTTACTGTTTATTAATTTTTTGTTGCTATCCAAACGTACCGTTGATGTTGCTGTTCATCACCGAAGACAAATTCCTTGTGTATATTTTATACTTGGTCATTAAAGTATTTGTATTGTATTGTATATATATATTTTTAATTTCAAGGTTGATATAGGGCCTGGGTGAGACTATGTAATGTCTGGTTTTAATGGAATTTCCTGTCCCAAGCCTTGGCCTACTGATATTGGGAATGGGATATGACCATGCAAAGGATATCTTGAAATAATCCATACGTGCAGACATGTAGTCAGACTAGAATTTCTGCAAGCATCATTTAGCATATACCCCACTCATTCTCTGACGTATCACAGAATTTTTACCCTTCCTCATTTTGATATTCTTAGCAATCCTAAGTCTAAGCAATCCTTGAGGGAAGATATTAGAAGATTCCTTATAATGAAATATTTGATGTGGGACAGGGCATTAGAAACACTCATGTTCTTTTGCACTGCTGCCTGTACATGGATAGACATAGAACTTTGCTAGTCCCCTTGATGTGAAAAATTCTGAATGTTCCAGATAGTATTTATGTGAAGTAGCTACTTGACAATAAGATTTCAAAAATTACCAGGGAAGTATTAAAATTCTGTCTGACAACATGCCGAATACAGAGATCATTTGAAGAGCACCAAATCTAGTTACAAAAATATTTCAGGATCTAATATCATTATATCATATCATACTGAATTAATGGAAGCCTATAAGTGGCACTAACTTATAATTTTAACAAATAATTCAATGAAGTGCCTCATTAGTCAAGAGGTTTTGACTTTAAATATTTTAGGGTTTCAAATTTTAAAATTCTAGTAGTATATTAAAATAGCATTTTAGTCTTTAAGTATTGTATTAATTAAGGCATTTTCTAGGAACAGTAATTTATCAAAGTAGTATTCTAGCCTTTTGGAATTTTAACATTATGCTTTCAGTGTATTAAGGGGTGAATGAATATAACTTATTCCATGAATATTTCATGAACTAAATATTTTAATTCCTTATTCCTTTATGTGTCTTCTCCCTATCATCTCACTATGAGCATGTACTTTTTATTTTACTTATGCCATTTAATACACACCTTTATTTGGGATTTATCATTTATTTGTAAAACTGTATATTGTACGGGTCAGTGACCAAAATAAAGGCTATTCATTCACATTTGTAAATGGTACTTTTTAGCCAACTACATTTTTGAAGAAAAATCACAAAAGCCTTGGGGACACTGTAATACTTTACTACAAATCAGGATCTCTTTTACATTTATATAAAGTGTGATGATGCAAGTAGAAACTTGCCGATAATTCTCAAAGTATGTAAATATGAGTTTTCATTTAAAAATGTTATTTTGTGTAACTTGGCAAAATGTAAGGGTTTTTTTCATTGCCAAGAAGATTATGCACCAAATTTAAGTTGGTATGGACACATGACATTTTACTTATCTGCTCTGGTCACTCAATTCCCCAGACAAGTTGAAAGAAAGCAAGAAAGTTCTAAGACTACACACACACACACACACACACACACACTCTCTCTCACTCTCTCTCTCTCTCTATATATAATTAGTTGAGATCTTTATTTAGTTTCCTGGCAAGCTTTTCAAATGCTCAGTATGTCATTCCTTACATATATTCAGCCCACAACTTATTATGTTTACACCACTGGTGTCATTGTTTTTATTATAGATTTGTTTCCTGGATATTGCATGTAATTAATTAATTAATACAAGTGTTTATATACTGCCCTAATTTCAAGGACTTGTTAACTTCCCTAATTATGCTGATTTTTAAGCACTTTATACACAACATGGGATGTGATGGGGAAGAAAGTTGTGTTGTAACTAGTGCTGATTGCAGTTAGAATGATCTAGTGGAAATTTAGTAATATATGCTTTGAAATCCATCAAAGCATGAATGCAGCAACAAATGGAGTAAGCAAAGGGAAAACATTTTTACTCCTGAAGTATAGCACTTTTCTAATGCAATTTCTCTTGTATAATGCTCTTAGTAACAAGCTGTAGGGAACACAGATTTTGAATTTTGAGGATATCCAGACCTATACCATTTATTCAATTAACTCAATTGAGCACTGTCACTTAAAAGACTGTTCATTAGATTTATGCAGCCTCTTCATTAGCAATCTGCTTGTTTTCCTGAAATGAGTTTAGAACACCAAAAATAGCACACATCTCAGATGAATTTAGATTAGCTGGGTATTCAGTGTATCAAAACAATTTGGTGGAGGGGGGAGGTTCTTACATCTAAATTTAGACAGAATGGATGACAGTGGCCTATTTTTGGACCACCAACATTAATATATTAATGCTGGCTTCAAGCAGTTGGTATCAGTCATAAGCATCCAATTTACAATGATACAAATTTCAAAAGAAGTCTGAAATCTATCTAGTTTCAGAGACAGGTTATACTAGAGATGAAGGAAAGTTTTCTAATAAAAGGAAGACAGATTTAAAAATTAAACAAAAGTAAGCTTTTAGTAACACAAAAGGAATCTAAGGTAAGCTAAGCAAGTTCATTTATTGTCAAAGCTTGAAAGAATCTCCAAAGACGATAAACCATATCTAATGGAAAAACTTATTTATTTAATTAATTAATTAGATTTGGAAGACCACCATGCTCCCAAATGACTCTGGATGGCTTACACAGTTAAAAAGGGCGGGGGATGACAATTAAAAGAGATAAGGACATGTATGTCCATATGAAAACATCCAATTCATTACCAAAAAACCTCCAGGGCCCAACAAACTACCTAGCCCAGGTCTGGGTACAAAGCCAAGCTTTTAAAGACTTCTGGAATCCATATAAGGTGGAAGCCACACAAATGTCCAGGATGAAGAAGTTACAGAGGGCAGGTGCCACAACAGAGAAGGCATACTTCAAGGAACCTACTAGATGACATTGTTTAATTGAGTGGACCTGGAATGCCACCCACTCTGTCTGATTGTACTGGATGGGCAGAAACCACTGAAGACAAATGGTCCCTCAGATAACCAGTCCCTATATCAAGAAGGACTTTATAGATGACAACCAGTGCTCTGAATTATACCCAGAAGTAACTAATGCAGCTTATGGAGCAATAATGACACATGGGCATATTGAAGTACACCTATTACTGCCTGCATCATTGTACTTTGGACCAGGTGCAGCTTCCAGGTGGACTTCAACATATTAAAAGTTTATGACAGATATGTGCATATTTAAATGCCAGAAAAATGTCTCTTCTAGTACTGATATGGCAAACATGATTTGTGATGCTTGATGCATGATTTTTACCATAAGGTACTGTTCTAGAATATATCACATAAAAATAAAATATTTATTTTGCTAAGATATAGTGTTCAAAAGGCATCTGTTATTGGGAAGGCAACAGCAGTGTTTCACTTGCAGGCTAAAGGATGTGTAAGTTTTAAATATGACAGACAATGATCAGCTAAAAAGTAACCTTATAAACAAGGTATATTAGCCCAACCCTTAATATGTGCTACTCCAGATGTTGCTGAACGTTAACTTCCATTAGTTCCAACTACCAGAGCAAGATATTGCCCATCTCTGATTTAGAATATTAGGATAAGATGACACAGAAAAGCATACTAGGCAAATACACTGGAGCAAAAGGATGGGAAGAAGAATAGTGGAAGAGGAAGTAGAGTGTGACTGAATGGTGGGTGGAATCACAAAGGTGAGAAAGACACAAGAAGAATGACACAAGGGCAACAGCTATGTTGTGCTACTGGCAGATAGAAAAGAGGACATAAAGGCTGGTGGTTTGAATACACAGAAGGACAAATCAATTATGTTTATAGTTAAAATGATTATTTGTTCTGGTTGTTATTGTATCTTGTTAAAAATTGGTTACAGATTTAGACTCATGAATGTATTCTGGTCTGGAAGTTGTTAAAATTAGAGGAAGTCACTTCATGTAGAGGCTCTGAATTACACAACTGATATATATTATGGAGATATGCAAATCAGTAGGTTGAAGAAGCAAATTATTTTAGGAAATATTAAAAGAATACATTAGCCAGAGACATCAAGGGGACAGGAACCTGTAAGAGACTTCTGGAATGTGGTTGTAAATTTTAAAGAAGAGATGGTAAAATTATAATGTTTCTATGGCTATAAATGTACCATTCCAGTTTTTCAGGCAACAGGCACAACTGCACAATTTTATCTGATATAATATTTACTAAAAAAAATAAAAATAATTTGTAGAAGAAATTTAAAAAATTATAAATTTAAAATTTAAAAACTCTCATATTTATTTATTTATTTACTAGATTTATACGCCACCCATCTCCCCCAGAGGATGACTGGATGGCTCACAATTAAAATAAAACCCCAAAACAGTTAAAAATATAAATATCCACATTAATTTAG